CAATTCCAAACGCACCCTCATCTCTCTAAGAGGTATCAAAAGGACTGAACCGGCCGGCACGGCCCTCTACAATAGAGGATTGGGCTTGGGCCGGGCCTAAGGCCTGAGGGGAGACCCTCAGGCCCAACTTGAGGGGAGACCCTCAGGCACAAACCCAACCCTGAGCCCTTATGGGCCGGTCCTACTAATGGTCCTGTAAGACCTTCATATGGCCGGCCCTTTAGGACTTTATTGGGCCGACCCTACCAAAGGCCCTGTTCAACGGTCCAATTTATGGTCGTTGAGCAGGCACTGATTGACCAGGGCGGTCGACCGGTAAAGGCATCACCAGTCGACTGGTGGCCTACAACTTCTCTGCACGGCCCTCTACAGTAGAGGGCTAGGCTTGGGTCGGGCCTGAGGCCTAAGGTGAGACCCTCAGGCCCAGCCTGAGGGGAGACCCTCAGGGACAGCCCCGACCCTGGGCCCTGAGCCCTTATGGGCTAATCCTACTAATGGTCCTGTAAGACCTTCATACGGCCGGCCCTTTAGGACTTTATTTGTAATGTCTGAGAAAATTTCAGACCTTAAATAATACAATTTATGTATTTAAGCCAAGAATTTTCCTAGAAAATATTATGTGAATGAAGGATTTATGGAATTAATATCTGTATTCCTAAATTCTGTAGCAGATTTCATGTTAAGTTCATGTTTACGATCAGGTAAATTCGATCGATAAATTCTCACCGTCATCTAAGGCGGAAGAATTTTCAGTACAAATATAGTTTGAGAATCTTAATTTCAAGAATCTCCAAGTACAGCACGATGTTAGCAGCGTATAAAAAACGTACTGACATTTTAAAAGAAGAGAAAATCCTTAATTGCCAGACAGCTAGGTTCAAGTCACAAGATAAATACCTATAGTAGAAGGGTACAATGTGAGCTCGGGAGTTGACATCATCAGAAACAATGTCATTCCCAGGATATAATGCAGAAAAGTTAAATCTAGAATTTGTTTAGTCTAGAATTAATTTCAAGACTTGAAACAGTTCAAGATATTACGCGAGTAAGAATTTAATGTAATGTCGAAGTAGTCGGGAATTAATATTGAACTGTAAATAAGCAGTAGAAAAGGAACCATCAAAAACTATAATTTCCTGTCGGCTAAGTTACTTACTTACAGTTAGTATAATTTTTAGCAGTTTCAAGAGAAACTTGAGAGATGAGATAAAAGTACAAAAGTGGGTTAAGTTTGGTCAGATAAAATGTGATGTGATGGGGGTATGTTATATTTTTCCCTCTATTTTCTTCACTTGGCCAGCCAAGCTTAGGAAATTAGAGCCAAAATTGGCTAGTGGAGTGTGCTAGAGGATTTCATGGTAAGGTGATGTGATAGTAGTAGTTGAAGGGGAAATGAACCGGCCAAGGATGGGGGATTTGAACCAAAAATTTGGTTGACTAATGGAGTGGAATTTAGGTTAAATAAATTATCACCAACTTGCCTATAAAAGGAACCATCACAAGCTAGGCTCCATTTTTTTTTTCTCTCCTCTTTCCTCTCCACCCCAAAATTGGCCACTCCACCCATACTCTCTCAAAAAGTTTCTCTCACTCTCCTAATCCTAAGCCACTAGTAAACAATAGAAGGAGAAGAATGAGATCAAAGGATCCTAGGAGAAGCCTAACCAATGATTTTCTTCAAGGGTATAAATTCTAAAACCTTACTCTCTATTTTCCATTTTAGCAAAGTTTAAGTTTGAGAATCTATTGATGTAAATTTGTGATCCTCAAGAAAAATAAGTTGTAATAAGGGTGTGTGAGTTTTATGTTGGTTTTGTGAGTTTTGAGGTTAGATTGATTAGCAATATGTGGTATGTTTATACATGGTTGAAGTTGCTTACTTTTGGTTAGAGGAAAAATTTTTCGGTTACTTTGAACGTGAAAATGAGGACCCAAGAGCAAGATTTTTGGTGTTTCAAAGCTTGAACTTATAGCCCTCAAGGTTTGGAACATTTTCGGTAACTAGGACAAAACCCAACTTTAACTCTAAAAGCAAGTTTGAAGCCATTTTGTAAAAAATGGACAGGCTGTCCAACACAATTTCAAAAAGAAAATTTTTACTACAGCATTGCTATAGCATCCGCAGTATTTTAAAAGATTGCTGCAGCATTCCTACAGCAAAGGAAAAAAAACAGCAGCCAATGTTTTTAGCCAAACGAGGCCTTCAGAGGTTGAATTTCAACTTTCACCAAAAACAATAATTTTAGATCTCGACGAGACGAAGAATTGTCGCGAAGAACAAAATTTTGAAATCTGTATCTAAGATGCAGTAAAAAGCAGATTTCAAAAACTGCACAGTTTTTAACAAAACAAAACTAAAACAGTGTCGGTTTTAACAAAAGGTTATCAAAGAACCCAAGATATGAATTCAGTAAAATACTATGATTTTAGACCTTGCTTAAACGAGGAATAGCCGTGAAGAAAGATTTTGAAAAAAGAGTTTCTACAACATAGTTTCACGGTGGTTTACAAATTAACCGTATAACAACTTGTGGAATAGTTTCAAAAGTCGGTATTCGAAAAGAGATTTTATAACGGGATTTTAGTGCTTGTAACTAAATAAGTGAGTAATCGATTTTATAAAAATTGAATGATAGTTTTTTTAAAAGCTTAATAGTGTTTTGAGCAAATCATCCCGATGGGCACCTACGAGCCCAATACGTTAGGTACTTAGAATTACAAAGATGGGATATGGGTCTAACGCCCGTATTAATTCAAGAGACCCAGTTGAGTTTAAATTTCAACGGCCTAAGAGTTAGAATGCCGTTAATAAGTTTCTAAGTCGAATTGGGCCTTAATATCATAATAAGTCTAATGAGGAAAATTATGGAGAATGAGTTACTAGATTGGGTAAATGATTTTCAATCTAGACATAAGTATGTTAAGGGTAATTAAGGAAAATAAGATTTTGAGGATTTAATAAATTGATCCTTATAGTAAATTATCCTTCAGTAAAGGAAAGGAATACAAGCGTTAAGTAAAGGGCTATATTTCCTTCATAAGTTGCTAAAATAGAATAGCAAACGATAGATAATCTCACACTCTCAATGGGTGTTCATTTTCAGAAGTAAGCCAGTAAGAGAATATGCTGTTTGGCGAAGAGTGGATTCCAGCTCTGTAAATCAGGTAAGTAGGAATCTCGCCTATAGCATGAATAGATTTTAAAGAAAAATTACACATGTTATATATATACATGTTTATGCTTTAAGTATTGTATGTGATGTCATGTCATACTGCATACACCTTAATAAGTCAAGATAAACTTATAAGAATAATCTCAGTTGAGTGCCGTACCAGCCTCCGCAAGGGAGGTAACTCAAGCTCTGCAAGGGAGAAAAGAAAGAAAAAAATATAATAATGTCCTTCGCAAGGGAGGCATTCAGTTCAGTTATAATCACGGTGCCATGGGGGACCTTACAAACCCTCACGTCCCGATGATTGCGTGCAAGTGGTACGAGCACTCGGGCCCATAAGAAAGATAAGATAAGATAAGATAATAAGACTATGATAAAACATCATAATTAAGCATAATCAGCTCATGTATATTTATTCATGTGTACTTACAGTTATTTTGTGAGAGATAATTCCTACTTACTGAGCGAAAGCCCAATCAGATATGTTCATGCTGTAGGTAAGAAATCTATCAGCAATTCTTGAAGGGCAATGGCGAGCGGTGGACGAATGGTGGAGATGAGAATGAATACCGCTAACACATAAAATCTTCCGCAGTAAGTTTAAGTAAAATCATGTATATGTCTATATGATTCAAAGGTTTCAACCATGTATGTTTAAAAAGTATATGTACATATGTATATTGAGGAAACTGAGGTTGTAGCTAACAACCGTAGTCTTGAGTATTTAAGTTTTAGAACGTTGCAACAGTGCATGTAACAAATAAATAAATTTTAAACATGACGATATAAATGATTGATTTTAAAAGAACTTTAAGATGTACTTGAATTTAACATTTCTCACAAAATCTGTTTTGAAGTCAAATTAGATGACCCGATTGAATTGGCTAGCTTTAGAAAAGCTTTTACAGAGTATTTGAAACAAGAGTTCAAACGTTGCTTCATTTGAAGGATATTTCTAAAAGGTTTTACCTTAATTAAAATTAAGAAAAGCTTTAAGAAATTTAGTGATATATTCTTTTGAAATTGTTATTACGAATTATGAAATTATTCATTCTTATATATAAAATAAAAAAATAAAAAAAATGTTCTGCAAATTTTAAGAAATCCCAATAAGTACAAGTTAATTTCAGCTACGGTGGCGGCCACCCAGGAGGGTCATCACATTATTGGGCTGACCCTACTAAAGGCCCTGTTCAACGATCCAATTTATGATCGTTGAGCAAGCACCGATTGACTAGGGCGGTCGACCGGTAAAGGCATCACCGATCGACTAGTGGCCTACAACTTCTCTGCTACCGGATGACCGGATTACATTGGATTCCCCTCAAAACTCAAATTTAATTTAATTTTTTTAATGCACTTGAGTTTCACTTATAATTAATAATTTTTTAAGGATTTTTTTTTCATATTTGATGACAAAAAAATAGTAATATATCATATGCTACAAAAAATGTGATTTTATTAAAATAATATGAAAAATTACAAGAAAATGACTGGACGACATAAGTCGACCAGTTAGCACTAAAATGCCTCAAACCTCATTAAAATTTCATATTGCGTGCCTGGGTCGTACCTAACCTTTCGCGTGCCTGGGCCGTGCCTAAGTTGCTGGCCTCAAACATGAAGCTCAACCCATGCTCTTTTGGTGTGCCGGGCCAGCCTAGCCCATAATACTATTACGCCGGGCCGTGCCAAATTAACCACTTTAGTGGCTGGAAACGGCCCGACCCATAAACGGTCTAGCCCAATTGACACTCTTACTCTCTCTCTCTCTCCTTTTTTAGCTCTCTTGCTCTCAACTTCTCTCTCTCCGTCTCCCCCTTCTCGGCTCTCTCTCTACTACCCCATTTGATCGTCTACTACCAGAATCAACTGCCATAGTGTCATCGCTGCCGCTTTCCGGCAAACCTCCGCCCTGAAACATCCCGCCCGAGCGGGGTATTTTTGAATTTTTAGAAATAATGATAGCTTAATCTGCTAAAAATGGTTTAGCCAGAAAAAAAAAACGCCGCACGTGCGGTGTCAAATGCCGCCAAGATAGCACGTATAAAGGATCTTTTTTCCTTTTTTCTTTTGAAATTCCAAATTCGAAACCCAAAAAACGAAAGGAAAAAAAAGAAAATAGTTTCGAAATGGGTTTTTCGGATTTCCATCGCTCCGATAATGGGTTTCTTGATCCGTAGCTCCTAATCTTAATTGGGTTCTTTTTTATTTTTCTCGGAATACTCGAAATTTTTTTCTGGGTTTTTTTTTCCTCCTGTTTGAAGGCATGAATTTGGGAGACCTTAATAAAGTATGGGAGATCAAGGCCTTGAAGAAGCCGGGAGAAGAAGAAGCCAAGAAGATTCTAGAAAGAATCGCCAAACAGGTTCAACCCATTATGCGTAACCACAAATGGCGTGTTAAGCTTCTCTCCGAATTCTGGTACTTTTTTGTTTCAGTTTTGTAATTCCAAAATTTTCAAATTCTCTTTTGTTTAATGGGTTTTGTTCTTATTGAGAATTGATTCTACTAATGGCGTGTTAAGACTGTTTTTTTTTTTTTTTTTCATTTCCTTTTCTATTGTTTAATGGTTTTTTTTTTCTTTTTATTTCGCAATAACAATTGGAATTTAGTTTATGAAGAAAGAGTTAAGTTTGGCTAATTTATAAAGTATATATTTTTCACTTTAAATGACAATGGGTTTTCACGTTTTACTTTTCTTATCTTTTTAATGGTTAGATTTCTCATATTCTCGTATTGTCATATGTTTTGTGTTTATGTTTTTATTGAGAATTAATTCAACTAAACCCAATTCGTTTACTTTTGGCTGTTTTTTCGCCTTTAAATAGAATTGTTAACTTATTTCACTTGTAAAGCACAATTTTTAAGTAACATTTTTGTTTTTTGTTTTGTTTGTAAATACGTGAATGGCAGCCCAAACAATCCGTCTCTTCTGGGACTGAATGTAGGAGGAGGAGTTCAGGTGAAGCTCAGGCTTCGGAGGCCGAATCGGGAGTGGGATTTCTTCCCTTTCGATCAAATTCTCGATACAATGCTCCACGAGCTTTGTCACAATGTTCATGCCCCTCATAATGCTAGCTTCTACAAGCTTTGGGATGAACTTAGAAAGGTATACTTTTTTCCTTTATTGTTCATATTGTTTATGCTGCGGTTTTTGTATTTTAATGTTGAATTTTTTTTTGTCTTATTGTTGGGATTTTTGTTCTGTTTGGCGTGAAATGTATTACACCAGAAAAGGATACTATTTGTCTTGTGGTGATCAAGATTTGAAGTTTGCTTCTTTTTTTATTTGTTCAACAAAAATGATAGCATGTAATTGGTTAGTTTCTTGCACTTCCTCTGGTTCATCTCTTTAGATTTGAAATATTACCAATCAGTTCTGATTTAAAAGATGGTTTTTCTAATTTGTTTCACTTTCTTTTATGGTATGTTCTTGTTGTGTTCCTTTATGAGGAGATAGAAATGAAATGAAGAAAATGGATCCTTACCTATATGCTTGCACCTCCTACTTGGCAACTATTGTATTTTGTTACTCGGTATAGTTCTGTGCACTATAACATGTCGGCGAAAGAAAAAACAAAAAAAGAACAAAAAAAAACAAACAAACAAAAAAAGAAAGCATGTCATTGTTGTTAGTCAAATAGATATGTTTGTTTTTCAAGGTGAACTGTAAGTCTAGTTCTGATTTGGATGCGTTGGTTTATGTTTATTAACCTTTCATTTTCCCTTGTAATTATTAACTTTACATAGGAATGTGAGGAGTTGATGACCAAGGGAATAACTGGCACGGGGGAGGGGTTTGATCTTCCTGGGAGGTGTTTGGGTGGATTTTCCCGGCAACCTCCTCTCTCTTCTCTTCGTGCAACTGCACTTGCTGCAGCAGAAAAGCGATCCCGTATGGGATCTCTTCTACCATCTGGACCTAAGCGTCTTGGCGGTGATAGCACTATTATGGTTGCCCTTAGTCCTATACAAGCTGCTGCAATGGCTGCAGAAAGGAGATTGCAGGATGATCTCTGGTGTGGTTCTGTTTCTGGTGAAGCTGTGGACGATGGAGAAGGAAGCATTGATAAATCACATGATCTTGCACGTAGGGAGCAAGGTGCGGGAACCTCAAAGCTTGGTTATGATTCAAGTGTCCTTGCCTCAGATTCCACGTCACGGAAGAGAATTCGTGAATCAAATAAATTTTCTTCAGTTCAATCTCCTAATGGCCACTTGGGGTCCAATTTTGTGGATCTGTCTTGTGAGCCGTCTTCTGGGTCCACGTTTAACTTTGACACCAAACATAATATAGAGGAATCTGCCATGTGGGAGTGTGGAACATGCACTTTGTTGAATCCGGTAAGTTTTTTAATTTTTTGGTTCAAACATGATCTCTTTGTAGCGTGGATTTTTGTTTCCTTTTTCACTTTTTGCATGCATTATTTAGTAAAGTTTATTAAGTCTCCTTTACTAGCTTTCTAGTCCCTGTTACCTGGTTTCCATGGGTACATATTTCACTATTCATGCAAGAAACTCAAGCTATAAGCCTTTTTCCTTTTTATTTAGTTGTTGCATTGCGTTCAATTGCTATTTATTCCTAGTACACTTTTAATTGATCATTTTGCATATGAAAAACGCTGCACCACTGCAGCCATTGGCTCCAATTTGCGAGGTCTGCGGCACGCAAACGCCAAGAGATGTGGGGACCAAGTACAAATTTTGGTCATGTAAATTCTGCACTCTGGAGAATTGCGTGAAGTTAGATAAATGTTCTGCTTGTGGTCAATGGAGATACTCACACGGTCCACCAGTGGCAGCCCAAGCACCTAATATTGGCACTTGAGAGATGAAATGCTAAAAGTATGTTAGCCTCTGAGCTCCCTACACTTGTATAAATATTTTTATTTTCTTTTGGCTTAGAACCTTGTGAATCACCAAAAAGTCTCTGGAACATATCTTTCCAGTGAACATTTTGGTTTGGACAGTGTCATTTGAGCCCGTACGACAATCATACAAACTCTAATTTGGTAAAGGTGCTAATGTTGCTATATGGGGATTTTGGGAGCATCAATTCATTGGTTATATCATTGTGAGTGTAATATGTAAAGAAACACTGATAAACCTCTTAAGAACAAACAAGACCCGTGCTATTTTTATTTATTTATTTATTTTTGTACACTGACAACCCGACTTCTCGAGCCGTTTCATTCCCCTTGGGGTACCTCCCTCAGTTTGTCCTGGTGTGTTCGGATAGGAGGGTCCACACACACCTTAGGGATTAGTCCGGTGCTCAAAGAGGCATGGATGCCCTACGTTATCAAATATATATATATATAT